ACTAGAGAACAGATAAAGAGAATTTATCCAATCTGAACAACAGAGAAAACAGACTGAAACAAGGTAATACCCATAGGCTTCAACTCAGTTCAGTTCAGTCGCTCAGTCGTGTCCAACTCTTTGCGACCCCATGGACGGCAGCACGCCATGCTTCTCTGTCCATCACCAACTCCTGAAGATTTCTCAAACTCATGTCCATCGAGTCGGTGATGCCATAAAACCATCTTATCCTCTGTCATCCCTTTCTCCTGCCTTCAATCTTTCCCAGCATCAGGGTCTTTTCTAATGATTCAGCTCTTCATGTCAGGTAGCCAAAGTATTGGAGTTTCAGCTTCAGTATCAGTCCTTCCAATGAATATTCAGGATTGATTTCCTTTAGGATTGACTGGTTTGATCTCCCTGCAGTCCTAGGGACTCTCAAAAGTCTTCTCCAATACCACAGTTCAAAAGCATCAGTTCTTCAGTGCTCAGACTGTAGCAAAAAATTTAACATTTGTGTCACAGAAATCTCAGAAGCAGAGAAGAAAGTTGAGGGGAGGGCGCTGAAAATACCCAGAGAAAATAGCTGAAAACATCTTAAATTTCGCAGAATACATAGATTTAAGAATTAAGGGAATCCCGACCCCTGGGTCAGGAAGATCCCCTGGAGGAGGGCATGGCAACCCACTCCAGTATTCTTGCCTGGAGAATCCTGCGGACAGGGGATCCCGGTGGGCTACAGTTCATGGGGTCGCTCAGAGTCAGACATGACTGAAGTGACTAAACACACAAATAAGATAAACCCAAAGAAATCAACACAAAGACATCTCATAATCAAATTCCTGAAATCTAAGTCCAAGGAAACTCTTAAAAGAATCCAGGAAAAGAAAAAAAAAAAAAACCCTCATCAATAATGGGAAGGAACCCAAATGATCATGATTTCTCCTCAGAAACCAAGAGAACAAGAGGAAGTGGCTCAACACAATTCAAGAGCTGAAAGAAAAAAGAACAAATGGAATTTATCATCTGTTGAAACATCCTTGAGGAATGAAAGGGAAACCAAAGACCCTCAGATGAAGGAAAACCAAGCAAGGTGTCATCCATAGACCTGCCCTGAAAAACTGGCTAAAGGAATTCCTCTGAACAGAAAGGAAACTATAAAAGAAGGAATCTTGGGACATTGGGAAGGAAGAAAACACAGTAAGCACAAATGTGGGAACAGACACCAAACTTTTTTTCTCTTGAGTGTATTATATTATATTATACTATGCAGTTGGAGCAAAAATTACAGCAGTCTGGTGCGGTTCTAAATGTATGCAGAGGAAATGTTTAAGATAATTGTGTTATAAAAATGGGAAGATGAAGGGACTGGAAGTAAACTCCTACAAGTCATTCCACTGGCAGAACAACAGGGGGGCCCTTGACTGGGTGGTCTGCCGCCACCAGGGGCCACCAGCTCGGAGCCCCCAGGCCCCAAGGCACCCACAGCTCATCCCAAGGGCTCCTCTCATTGTTCACTTAAGGGGAAAGGTGCAATAATCCACGCTGCTTCCTCTCTGGGACCCACAGTACGGAGACTCACTCTTCATATCCAAGCGGAACACACAGTACCTCACGATGAACCCTGCTGTTCCTTCTGGACTGATTCAAAAGACCTAACAACAGGATTTGCCAACATCCTTTGGAAGTTACTCCCTGGGTACCTGAAGTAAAGCATGAGGAATTGATCAAATCTTTGTCTGCTATCTGCAACCACAGCTCCCGGACTATCACATCTGACTCTGAGAGCCACATCAGCGGGAACTTACAAAAATTTGCTGTTCAGCCCAATGTTACCAGACTACCTCCTCTGCCCATGGCCCCACCTGGCCTGGAGGAGGGAGGCAGAGGGTGTCCCAGGCAGTCCTGGCAGGACTGAGGCTGCCCCACAGCAGCCACACAGGATGTGGGACATGCGGATAAGTCACTAAACAGGTGAGGCTGGTTCACTTACAGACACGCTGCACTCGCCCTGGGCATTTACGGCCTAGGAGCTACAGAAGTTTGCATGAGGCTTGCCTTATGGTCTCTAGGAGCCAAACATGACATTGAAATGATCCATTCCACTAATATCTTAACATTTTGTCAATCTGGAACGCATTTTAATCGAAAGCCCCCTCGAAACAGTCTCCTTTGTTGTATTTTCTTGTTGGCTCATTCCATCAACATCTGCTCTGTTTAGACAATAAGAGTTAGAGCTGCGGATGCTGTCGGTACTCAACTGCTCTTGGGGGTGGGGGAGCCCACCCCAGCCTGGCAGTGTTTATGTAAATCAGTGTGGCTGACACAGCCTTCATAAACACACAGGGGAATGTAACAAACACGCGGTTCGCACAGGAAATGCTTGCATGAGAGCTGGCTTTGGTCTCAGCAGACTGATGAGGAGCCGCTGACACGGCAGATCTGGGTTCCCCGCGCCCAGGGCTCCACCCGCAGCCATGCGGAACCAGAGGGGCCTGGCCCACCAAGGGGCCCTGGGGTTCTCCGGGTGGGACGTGGCCCTGTGTGCCAGGCCCTGGGCCCCTCTCTGGCTCTGGGACCCCACCAGCTCCCACCACCTTGGCTGGAGAGGTTGTGGGAAGGCCCTTCTGACCCAACTCTTCATGTTTATTCAGGAAATGGGGTGGAAGGAACCATCACAGGCACATGCAGACACATGGAAAGCAGGCTGTTCATATAAGCAGACGGGGCACCAGGAGGGGCCTGCTTCACCAGCTCAGGCAGCCGAGAGAGCAGGAGGCTGGGGACACTGCGCTGTGCTGTGCGCTATTGTGATGTGAACACATGCTGTGCTCACTGTGTGTGCAGTGCTCTGCTGTCCTGACCGGCAGTGTACACTAGACTGCACTGTGCTGCGCTGTGCAGTGTCTGGACTCTGCACTGGACTCTGCACACTGCACTCCCTACTGTAACACCACACAACTGCAGGGCACGGCACTGTGCAGGGCGGGACACTACAATGCGGCATAGCAGGACAGTGCAGGCTAGCACAGTGCAGTGTGTGCAGTGTGGTGTGGTGTAGCACTAGGGTAGCATGTGCAGTGTGGTGTAGCACCAGGGCAGCACGTGCAGTGTGGGCTAGCACTTGTGTAGTGTGCTCGGTGTGTGCAGTGTGGTCTAATACCAGTGTGCTGTGTGTGCAGTGCCCTGCTGTCCTGACCGGCAGTGTACACTAGACTGCACTGTGCTGCACTGTGCAGTGTCTGGACTCTGCACTGGACTCTGCACACTGCACTCCCTACTGTAACACCACACAGCTGCAGGGCACGGCACTGTGCAGGGCGGGACACTACAATGCGGCATAGCAGGACAGTGCAGGCTAGCACAGTGCAGTGTGTGCAGTGTGGTGTGGTGTAGCACCAGGGCAGCACGTGCAGTGTGGGCTAGCACTTGTGTAGTGTGCTCGGTGTGTGCAGTGTGGTCTAATACCAGTGTGCTGTGTGTGCAGTGCCCTGCTGTCCTGACCGGCAGTGTACACTAGACTGCACTGTGCTGCACTGTGCAGTGTCTGGACTCTGCACGGGACTCTGCACACTGCACTCCCTACTGTAACACCACACAGCTGCAGGGCATGGCACTGTGCAGGGTGGGACACTACAGTGAGGCATAGCAGGACAGTGCAGGCTAGCAGAGTGCAGTGTGTGCAGTGTGGTCTAATACCAGTGTGCTGTGTGCAGTGTGGTCTAGCACCAGTGTGGTGTGTGCTGTGTGCAGTGTGGTCTAGCACCAGTGTGGTGTATGCAGTGTGGTCTAGCACCAGTGTGCTGTGTGCAGTGTAGTGTGGTCTAGCACCAGTGCGGTGTGTGCAGGGTGGTCTAGCACCAGTGCGGTGTGTGCAGGGTGGTCTAGCACCAGTGTGCTGTGTGCAGGGTGGTCTAGCACCAGTGTGCTGTGTGCAGGGTGGTCTAGCACCAGTGTAGTATAATACAGAACACCACAGAGCACAGTCTCAGATAACACAGTAGAGTGCAGTGAGTGCAGTGTGCAGTGTCCCGTGGGGCAGCGCAGCCCGTGCAGAGCAGTCTACCCCACCGCAGAGTATATGCACGTGGTCCTCTCACACACCACAGTGCCACATGTGACTGCTCCCCACTGCCCCGGCTGCTGGCGTGGGCTGTACTCGCGTGTCCTGCACAACCCTTGTGCCTGCACTGCGGGACCCTGTGCTCTGCTTGCTGCAGGTTCTCCAGTTCCTCCCGGCACTTCTGAAGGAAAGTCAGAGGCTGCCCCACTTGGGGCACAACTTGATGAGACCTCAAAAGTTAGTCTACTGAGCCAACTCTGAAGGAAAGAGATACCCAGACACCCTGGGGCATAGGTAGGGGCCCAGCTCACCCACAAGACCGTGAAGTGGATGCCCCAGCCTTAACCCCTCTGGCCAGATTGAGTCACTGACTCAGACCTCCTGGTGCTCAGTCTAATTATGTCATCTTGATTCCAGAAAATTCCCTGGGCTGATGACAGCATAGAAAGAATGTCCAACAACTGATTCCTTTTTTTGATGATAACACAGACTGAGCAAAAAGCTTCCAGAACATGGCACTGAATCAGACACCGAGACTTGCAGCTAGAAATGAACCCAGAAAACACTTTAAGGCCCTCACTTCATAAAAGAGGGGACAGACTCAAAGCAGTTCATTCACCCCCATCACAGGCCATTGAATGTTCGGGAAAGGTCGAGTCCATGTGCCCTGGGTGCCTCCCCTGACCCCACATACCTGCTTGTCTGGGACCACAACATACAAGTCACCTGGCATCACAGACTTGCCTGGTCCCATGGGACCACGGAGGGCACCCCGACCACTGCTCCCCCCACCCAGGCCAGACACAGAGGGGCAGGCGGAGGGCCGTGCCAGGAGGATCCACCAGCACAGAACTTCCTCCCACTCAGCGGCTGAGATTCATGTCTTCTTAGTAAGAAAATCAAACTCCATCACTTCGCAATCAAAATTAGCCGCAGCCCCAGAGGACGAATTACTCACCAGATTGCCATCTGGGAAACGTCCACCGCTCTATCTCTTCCTGGGTGAGGAGTCCCAGATGTCCAGATGTGGGGGCTGCTGGCTACCATGGCGACCAGACCAACACAGAGCAACCTCTCCACACCATGCTCCAGGGAGGCAGCCGAACCCGAATTCTCTCTCCTGCCACCAGAGCCAGACTTCCCACGCAAGTGGAAGCAAGTCCCTAAGAGGGTCTCAAATGCCCCCTGTCTGTGTTGCCCACCAAAGCCCAGCTAGGGGTCCAAGGGAACACCACACAGACTGGAAGCTTCTGGAAGATGGAGGGCAGGCTCTTCCACCCTAGATCTCTGTCCTGACGGAAGGTGAGGGGCTTAAGCACAACCCAGGAGCTGCTGCTCACAGGCACCGTCTTCCTTATGGGAAGTGTGTGATCCTCCATAAATTCAGAGTGATCGTTGGGCTGAGTGGAGGCCCTGGTGCAGAGCCCCTGACGGCTGGGCCCGGCTTGCTGCCCGGTCAGGCTCCTCAGCTTCAGGAGCTCCAGAAGTCTTCTTGTGAAGATAGAGTGGGAGGGAGAGAAGACCTTTCACTACAGCTGAGCTTATTTCTTGGCCCTAAGTAAAAATTTCAGAAAATATTTTTAACCTTATTTAAACAGAAAATGAACACTAAAAACACCTCTGTGCCCCCCGCCAATTCCTGCAAAGAAGGAGCTGCTTGGATAACACTGAGTCGTTATAAAATATTTATCTAAAACAGTTTACTTATAATTACATTAGACTGTGATATATTTCTGATCACAGGCTGCCCAGCGCAAACCGACCAGACGGTTCTCAGAAGCCAGCACTTCTCAGAGGTGGGCCTGGAAAGGACCTGCGTCAGCTGGTTCCTGTCTAGCAAGAGTCCACACAGTAACCAGCTGCCCTGCTCCCCGTCCCAGCAGCGAATCTCTGGACCTGTTTTCTGATCTGTGGGCCGAGAGGCTGAGCCACGGGAGAGGCTGAGCCACAGGCAAGGCCACCTCTTCCAACACTGGTAGCCATGAGTACCCAGTCCCTCAGCCCAGGGGCCAAGGTCGCTCCTGCAGACAAACTTGGGCGGGTCCCCACAGGCACATGCACTGTGGCCACTGCCTTTGGCTTGGCTGCCAGGAAGTGCTGGGGACGCTGCCCCTTCATCCTCTTTCTTATCCTGAGCAAACGCATCTCCAGAGCAAAGGGCCACCCGGCAAGGCTCAGGGAGCGCATTCTGGGAGCTCGTCTTCTCCAGCAGCTCATGGGGGAGGCTCCCCAGCCTGTGACCCAGAGCCGGACACCGGACCGGACCCTGTGGAATCCGAGAGGCACCGGCAGCACCCACAGGTGGCCCTGGCCAAATTTCACGTGCAGGGCCTCAGGTTCTGTGGGGTCAGAATCTTGGGCAGGTGGGGGTCCTTCATTAGGAAGAAGAGCGCACAATCGCAAGTACGAAACGACACTGAGACTTGACCAGGATGAAAAAAAACAAACCACACAAATTCAGTGAGCTCCAGGGACTCAGACCCTTTCTTCCAAAAGCCCTTCACCAGAAATGCTTACATACAGGGTCCTCCTCTCCACCCAAAGCCACCCCCATGTCCCATCCACCCAGGCCGGGGGGGCGTCCCTGAGAACAGACCTTCCCTGGCTGCTGGGGGAGAGAGAAAGCTTCTCAGCTGGGCTGTCCCTCCCACCTCCCATGCCTGCTCTGGCCTTTGCGATCGGAGCTGCTTCACTGTTTGAGTGACTTTTCCACCCACAGGAACCCAGGAACACAGCAAGGGTCAACACAGGGTCCCAAGCTCCACATGTGGCATCTACATCAGCCGGAAACATACACTGAATGGACACAGACGCGTGCCAACGGGCTCTCAGGATGTGTGTCCCATACCTGTCACCTGAGTCTCGGCCCCACAGCGCCGCCAGGGGCATCCCCGAGTCCCGCCCTCTGCTCAGAGTCAGCCTTGGAGGACTCCAAGCCATAAACGGCCGTGGAAACATATACATACACCCTCATCCCAGCGGCCGTCTTCTAAGGGCTATTTCTGTGTGATCCAGCTTTAGGTTTTCAACTCTTGTCATATTTTCTAAACTTCGGTCTCTTGCATTTACTTTAGGTCTGCAGCACTGCCCTCTCCAGAGGGAAAGCTAAACAGTGCGGTCAGGACTTAGTGTTCCCACGCGGCCCGTGAAAACCCCTGTCCTCACTGTTAACTGTGCTGCTGACAGCTGTGCTGCCCCCACCCCACGAGATCTATATGCCACCCCACTGACCCATGGATGGGAGGGCTTGTGAATCCATGTCCACGCACGTCAGGACCAGGTGTGTGGGAACAGGTCCACGCAGCAGGCAGCTCAGCTCCCAATCAGCAGAAAAAAACCATGTAGAGCGGGTTCATTGGAGGTCCATGCCATATCGTTGAACGAAAAGCTAGGAAACAAGACCTAATACAACATTGCTTTATTTACGTACATATCTATCTGCCTGTATTTGCATATTTTATATACACACAGGAAGATTCTAGAATAGTATTCCATCAACAAGTCAGTAGACTGATTACTTCTGAAGAGTGGGATCTTGTCTAACTCTGAATCCCTTATCTGACCTTCTCTCCAGATAAACACAAAAAATAGGCACAACATGCAAAATATAAGTTTTACAATGAACAGTGAATATTTTTCAAAAGGAGTAAGGCATTTAAAGATGAATGTGGCAGGGCTGGAGGCTCAGAGGGAAGCGTGTGGAGGAGCCCTTGGTGGTGGGGGAGAGGACAGACATCCAGGCCAGAAGGATGCACAAGAGCTGGGGACGGTGGGGGCAGCTTCAACCTCAAGCTACAAGCGCCCTCTTTTTGCCATTTTCTCTCTCAGCACTGCTCCAAACTCCCAGTCCCACAGGATTCAACGGACATGGAGGATGCTTACTGCGGGAGGCACCTGGGATCAACGTGGGGCCTGAGTTTAGAATCCAAAGACCTGAGTTCAGACCTGGTCTGGCTGCTGAGGGACGACAACGACAGAGTCAACGGCACTTTCCAAACCTCTGTCTGCTTGTCAGTCACATCTTTACCAGGAAACCCGCAACGCCACACATTTAACAATGTCATCTCCATCTCTAGGTTGTGCTAAATGGAAAACCAAATAATTTTATGACTGTATTTTGTATTTTCAGAGGCTCAGGAATAGCAGCCTTGGAAGTCATTCCCATCTCCCCTCTGGACCATGGGCAACCCTCACCCAGAACGGCACTGCCTGCACATCTGAGAGCCCTGCCCCCTGCCCCGTGGAGCCCCCACGCTGGTCCACTGAGGTTGGCAAAGATTTTTAGTCAGTAGAACTTACTAAGGGCTTTCTAGGTGGTGCTAGTGGTAAAAAAAATCTGCCTGCCAACACAGGAGACATAGGAGACATGGGTTGGATCCCTGGGCCGGGAACATCTCCTGGAGAAGGAAATGGCAACCCACTCCAGTATTCTTGCCTGGAGAATCCCATGGACAGAGGAGCCGGGTGGAATACAGTCCAGGGGGTCACAAAGAGTCTGCACGACTGAAGCGACTGAGCACACAGCACTTACTAGAGGATCCTCACAGAGAATATAACATAGATGTATAACTGGTATATCTACGTCGTTATGTAATGACACATGAAGTGACAGTCAGCGCCTGTGTTTAGAGGATGTGGCCGGGATCCTGTGGGAATTCACTGCTGTCTTGTCTCCTTTCCCAGCAGAAGAAGTTTTGCAGCTGGGACGGCCATGACCTGTCAGGGAGACAAGATGGAACTCCACTCAGTGGCCCTTCTAATAAAGCCATTATGTTCTTAAGAAAAGGGGCCTGGCTGGCAGATACCCCCTGCCCTGACCTGCTCTTTCTCCCTTCCTGGAGCACGGAGAGTGTCTGGCCACGGAGCCAGTACCCTTGGAAGCCCGACAGAAGCTCACGCTGAAGGAGGAGCAGACACTCGGCGTCCACACCAGCCCCAGACTGCCTCTCTCTGGACGTCTTGAGAAAACGGGAAAACAGACGCTGTCCCAGAGTGATGGACAAACTGCTGTTACTTCTGTCAAGCACAGCTCTGCTGCATGAGAAGACCTGCCTGTTCCGAGGCCTCCCCAGCCAGACCCTGAACTAGGACACGCCTCCCCCCAGGGTCAGAGGGCATCCCATCCACCTAGCACTCTGCCCAAGTGCAGGGCGCCTGCTTCCTTGAGCTCCAGGTGCCCAGCCCGTCTCCTCTGGCCCCTCACCTCACTAGAGATGGCATGTCCCCTGTCACAGCAGCCGCCTCCTCCCTGGTGGGAGCCTCGCAGAGCAGTTTGGTCCATGGTGACAGTCCAGGTGACCATCCATGGTGACCATCCATGTCACACGGAGGGCTGGGGGCTTCTGAGACCCTCGTTTCTGCTCTTCAGGGAGTCAACAGCCAACTCCTCGGTTCAGAAGGTACTTGTGGCAAAAATCACTGGCTGTCAAAAAAGATTAGGAAGTATCTTCCACAAATCACAAAGACCAGATGTGTAACCAGCGGGAGAGATTTTTTCCAAGGGGTTGATCACTAAAAAAGTAAATGATCCAGCCCCCTGTGGGCATGCCCACTGCCCCAGCTGCTGCCTCTCCCCCAGGGCTGCTGTCCTCATGGTCACAGACACCTCAGTGTCTCTCCCCTGCTTCCTCCTTTCATCTCGTGTTTCATGGTCCATGAGCTGGACTAGGTCACAGGCCTGTTCTGTGTTTGAAGATCAGTTAGAACGAAAAGTTGTGCTGAGCATAAGATGCAGTCCCTAGGTTTTACTACCAAACCAGAAACAAACTCCCAGTGAGGTTGGTGATATTAGGATGGAGTGGTTGCAGTCCCCAGCACATTCCCCACCCTGGGACCAGTGGTGACCTGATCTCTGCTGGGGGAGCCACACACCCCCTGGGGCACACCAGCTCCTTTATTCAGGCTCAGCCTGGATGTAGCACAGTGCTTCTCGGTGAAACTGGCTGTGTGCGCTTAATTCACAATAGTTCCTTCAGCTCCTCTGTCTCTCCTCCACTGCCAGCTTCCTTCCCATCCAGAAGTCTATTTTATCTGATAGAAGGACAGTTGCCTTGCTTTCTTTTGGTTTCCACTTACATGGAATATCTCCTGCTATCCATCACTTCCAGCCAACATGTATCTTTAAGCTGAAACGCATCTCCTGTTGGCAGATACAGTCGGGTCTTCATTTTTCATCCCTCCAGCCACTCCATGCCTTTTGATTGGTGGGTTTGATCCATTTACATTTAGAGTGATTATTAATGTGTCAGGATTTTCACCTGCCTTCTTACTGTTTGCCTTCTGGTTGGTTGT